GTGCTGTCCTCTTGTCCCCCTCACTGGGGCTATGTGGCCCCAGGACAGAGCTGCAAGTTTAGACTAAGAGTATAAAGTGGAAGTACAGTATCCTATATAATAAAAGGCCAACGACCGATCGACCAGACGCTATGAGGTGCATTGACCACCTCTCAGTCCCTCCCCCAGCCCGCAGGCTCCGATGGCTGGATGGCCAACAGGAACCATGGGGAACTGGGGCGGGACTGGGGACTGACAAGAGGGCGGAAGGCAGACCTCTTGGTCCCTCCCCCCGACCCGCAGGCTCTGATAGATTGCCAGATGGCAAACGGGGAACTGAGGTGGGGTCGGTGGCGGGGCGGGACTGGAGACTGGCAAACGGGCAGAAGATGCCCCTAGGCCAGTGGTCGGCAAACTCATTAGTCAACAGAGCCAAATATCAACAGTACAACAATTGAGATTTCTTTTGAGAGCCAAATTTTTAAAACTTAAACTTCTTCTAGTGCCACTTCTTCAAAATAGACTCGCCCAGGCCGTGTTATTTTGTGGAAGAGCCACACTCAAGGGGCCCAAGAGCCACATGTGGCTCGTGAGCCGCAGTTTACTGACCACAGGGCTAGGCCTAGGGACCCTACCACGCACGATTCTGTGCACTGGGCCTCTAGTTTAATTATGAATTCAAAGAAGACGGCTTTAAAGCCATCTGCCTCGTGCTTGGACTATAACACGGTAACTTCCCATTGTGCCTAATGGACAGCGAGATTTTAAATGTGACCTACCAAGCCGCACAGTCTGTTCCCCCCGAGGACCACCTGTGTCCCCCGAGGACCGCCTCCCTTGGCTGGGACTCATTCTCCAACAAGATACTGTGTAGTGGGCAGAGGCCTCGAGTAGCCAGGGCCATGCTCCAGCCTACAGGGGAGACACCTGGCAGGTCCTCCCGCCAGTGTGTGTGTGTGTGTGTGTGTGTGTGTGTGTGTGTGTGTGTGGCAGGGTTAGGGTGTTCATGGTTTTGGGTCCCTCAGGCTGTTCACAGCCGTGCGGTGCAAGGAAGGCAGCTCTTATCCACTTACCACTCGGCGCCCAGGTATCGGTGTGCATATGTCCCCTCCCCTCCCGGAGAAGGTGCGGTGCACAGGGTCGGCCTCAGCTGCACCTCATCTCTTCTGCTGAGGGTGAGTGCCAGCTGGATGAGGTCCTGGGCAGGGAGGTCTCTCACTTGGACTTGAGTTTCTCAGAAACTGAGCAAATATGAACAAGTTGAGGATCAAGTTGTGCTGGTTGTCCTGCAGCCAGAGGAGCAGGGTGAGCAGCCCTCGAAACCCAGGGATCTGAGGGCTGATCTGAGCCCAGCATGGGCCGGGCCTTGGGGGGGCGGGCCCGGGGACAGGGACTTGGCCTCCTTCCACTGCTGCATGGCTCCCAGGGGAGGGATCTGCCCATGGGGGCATCGGGTCCTCCTTAGGCAGTTCTTGTGCCCCTGTGTCCGGGGCACTGCCTGACCAGTCATGGCAGGAGGCAAGCCCCCCGCTGCCCAAACCTTCCTGGCACTGGCTATGCTGACAAGGCTACTCCGTGGGGCGGGCAGGGAGCAGGTGGGTACACCCTCTGGCCTCCGGCCTCCCTGGTCACGGCCGTGGGGATGGCTGTGGCGCCACTCCAAGAGGCACTGTGCGCTTCCCTGCGGCCCCGGGCCTGCTTCCAGGGGTGTGCTGGGCCTCCTGCTGGTGTGAGCGCATCCCCAACCAGCAGGCTGTTTTGCCGGGAGCTTCATGACGCCCCTGCTCTGAGGGTCATAATCCCCACCCGGCTACAGACTGAACTTGGATTTGGAACAGAGTGAGGGATTTAACTCATTAGGCCTGAGTTCCTGTTTTTCTCATTTGAAATAAAATCTTTTTATGTTAAAAAGAGGTATCTTAAAGCTGGGAATAAGCATATTTCTCAAAATCCCCAGGAGCCATGTTAAGGTCCAGAGTTCTGTGTGCTGGGACGCTGTTCCCTAGACACTGTTCCCTGCAGCCTCCTCCTGGAGGTGGCCCACGGCTCTGCTCCTGGGGTTCCGGTCCTTGTGTCGTCCTGACCCAAGTGTGGGCCGCCTGGTCACTTCCGGCCACTGACTGGCTACGGTGGTGGTGTCACCGGTGCTGTGCTGGCTGGGAAGGCAGACTCTCAGGTGAGTGGGAGAGAGCATCTGGGGACCCCGGCAGTCCTCAGCGTCTGGTGGGGACCAAGACCTCCTCCGCTCAGCTTCTCCGAGGACCAAGGACGCCCCACGGCTCTGGGCCTGGTGCACATCCTTCCAGTGAAGACCAGAGACACTGAGCCTTGAGTCCCGGGCATGCCCTCCTGCAGCCTGAGACCCCCATAGGGCACCCTTTGACCCGACCACAGACCCTGATGTAGGCGTCTGCGTGCGTGAGCTCATCTCTGACAGCAGGAAGCTGATGCCCAGGCGGATGCCTTGGATAGCCAGTGCTGTAGTGCCAGCTGGGCAGTCCCAGCAGGACTTCCTCCAGCGGCCTCTCTCCTGGCTGGCAGGGGGCTGCCTCCTGCCCTGTTCTCAGGCTCCTCCCCATCCCTTTCCTCATCTTCTCTCCTGAGGCCTCCGGCCACACTGGAGTAGGGCCACCCTCGTGACCTTGTTCTAACTTCCCTGCCCCTTTAAAACCCCGCCCCCCAAATACAGGGCCTTCGTGAGGAGGCTTAGGGCACGAGTGCAGGTTTCCCTGGGACTGTGGCCCAGGGACCGGCCGGGCCGATGCCCTCTGCACACTTTTACCATAATGGGCTCCAAACCTTGTTTTCCAGTTGTACATGGATCAGATGATTGCTGTGTAAATCCATCTATCGATATGTGAATGGTTCTGTCCTGTTCCTCATGGTTTTGCATATGTATTTGCATATCTCCATCCATAACAGATTGTAGTTCCTGAGAGCACATTTTCTTTCTTTTTTTTTTTTTTTTTTTAAATCAATCTTTATTGTTCATATTATTACACAGGTTCCTCGTTTCTTCCCCCCTCCACCAGGTTCCCACCCCACCCTCTGCCCCCTCATCCTCATCCATTGGTGCACAGTTTATGTTCAGTCTCTTCCTCCCTCCCTTTCCCCGATAGTAAATCCCTTTTCAGATAGCAAATCTGTTACTTAGCATTTTCTCATATCAATAATACCTCCACATGCCCAATGATACACTTCACACAAAAGACATTTCCTAATAGGACAACCAGCCTCATCCAGGCCCCACCCAAGACACTCACAGATCAACACCCAGGACTATACTAACTCAACACATCCAGATATAAGCCTTCATCACTTGATTCAGCAGACCCTCAAGTTCCCGCAAAAGTTTCCAGCCATGTCTGAGAGGCAGCCGTGGGGCAGGGGCAGGTGAGGAGCAAGCTGTTTTGGGCCAGGCTGCTCCGGGCCTGGCCTCTGTTGCTCTGGTTTGTTCCACAACCAGCTGCTCCGTGTCTGGTCACTGCCGCTCCTGACCCAGTTGCTCTGGACTTGGCTGTTGCTGCTACAGGCCTGGCCACACCCGACTCGGCTGCTCTGGGCCCGGTTGCTCCGGGCCTGGCCGCTCCCAGCCTGGCAGCCGCTGCTCCGAGCCTGGCCACTCCCAGCCTGGCAGCCACTGCTCCGGGCCTGGCCGCACCAGACCCGGCTGCTCCGGGCCTGACCGCTCCCAGCCTGGCAGTTGCTGCTCCGGGTCTGGTCACTGCCACTCCCGACCTAGTTGCTCTGGACTTGGCTGTTGCTGCTACAGGCCTGGCCACACCCGACCCAGCTGCTCTGGGCCCGGTTGCTCCGGGCCCGGCCGCTCCGGGCCTGGCTGCTCCCAGCCTGCCAGCCGCTGCTCCGGGCCCGGCCGCACCAGACCCGGCTGCTCCGGGCCTGGCCGCTCCCAGCCTGGCAGCCGCTGCTCCGAGCCTGGCCACTCCCAGCCTGGCAGCCACTGCTCCGGGCCTGGCCGCACCAGACCCGGCTGCTCCGGGCCTGGCCCTGAGAGCACATTTTCTATTTGGCTCCTGGGTGTCGGTGCTGTTAGGCACACTTTCAGAACCTGCGTTTGGGGCTTAGTTGTGTATTTCTAAGTAAGAATATTCTAGAAGTAGCTTGACTTCAGAAGGAGATGGGGCGTTGAAGAAGGATGGGTAGTGTTAGAGAGTGGTGTGGCCAGAGCATGTCAGCCTTGGCTTTTGGTAATTTGGAGGTGGTGGGTGCACTGCCAGACTGCCCCGCACTGCACCGGCTCCTCTGAACACTTCTCTGGGGGCTGTTCACAGCAGTACAGACATTTAAAGTTGTATCCTGAATTACTACCTGCAGGAGGATCAGAGAAAGTTACTTTAGGTGTAAATATCCCATATATAAAGGGCTAACATGCTAACAGTCGTCATGCCATCACACTGTAATGACCAATCAGCAGGCTGCATGCGGGACGGGCAGGCTGCGTGCTCTGTGAGGTGCACACAGGTGGGCAGGGACTTGATGTTATGTCCTTCCGGACAAAGCACAGCAGCTGCCTGAGGCCCAGGCAAGTTGTGGATGGCAGCTGCCACTGCCCAGGGCCCAAGGCTCAGGCAGCAAGGGCCAGGCTGAGGCTCAGGCAGCCGTGCGGCTGGCAGTGGCAGCAGCAGAGGCATGATGGGGGCGTCACCTTCCCCTGATTGCCGGGTCACCTCCTGCAGAGGGAGGCCAGAGGCAGCAGCAGAGAGGGGGTGAAGGGGCAGTGCCTTTCCCTGATCAGCCATGGGGAGCGGGCCTAAGCCGTCAGTAGGACATCCCCTGAGGGCTCCCAGACAGTGAGAGGGGGGCAGGCTGGGCTGAGAGAGCCTCCACCGCCCCCCCCCCCACCGAATAGCACAAATTTTCATGCACCGGGCCTCTAGTACATGTATATGTTTGTATAGTTAGACATAGGTGTCAATTAGATAAATGTGTGTGTATACACACACAGGTGTACATGGCAGAAAGAGGTAAATGGGTAAAGTGTTAAGAGCTGTATCTGGGCGGGGAGTGCTCTGCAGGGTTGACGCCGGTGGCCCGCTGGGCCGCGGAGCACGATGCTGTATGCCAACCAGCCCACCCTGCGGATCACAGAGCTCACCGACGAGAATGTCAAGTTCATCATTGAGAACACGGACCTAGCGGTGGCTAATTCTATTCGGAGGGTCTTATCGCCGAGGTGCCCATAATAGCCATTGACTCGGTTCAGATCGACGCCAGTTCCTCGGTCCTTCACAACGAATTCATCGCTCACAGGCTTGGGCTAATCCCCCTCACCAGTGATGACATTGTGGACAAGCTGCAGTACTCGCGGGACTGCACCTGTGAGGAGTTCTGCCCGGAGTGCTCGGTGGAGTTCACTCTGGATGTGCGGTGCAACGAAGACCAGACTCGTCACGTCACGTCTCGAGACCTCATCTCCAGCAGCCCCCGGGTCATTCCAGTGACATCCCAGAACCGAGATAACGACCCTAATGACTACGTGGACCAGGACGACATCCTCATCGTCAAGCTGCGCAAGGGCCAGGAGCTGCGCCTCCGCGCCTATGCCAAGAAGGGCTTTGGCAAGGAGCATGCTAAGTGGAACCCGACCGCAGGCATGGCTTTTGAATATGATCCCGACAATGCCCTGAGGCACACGGTACCCCAAGCCGGAGGAGTGGCCAAAGAGCGAGTACTCAGAGCTGGATGAAGACAAGTCCCAGGCTCCGTACGACCCCAGTGGCAAGCCGGAGAGGTTTTACTACAACGTGGAGTCCTGTGGCTCTCTGTGCCCTGAAACCATCGTCCTCTCGGCCCTTTCTGGGCTGAAGAAGAAGCTGAGTGATTTACAGACCCAGCTGAGCCACGAGATCCAGAGTGACGTCCTCACCATAAACTAATAGCCGCAGCTCATCCGCCTAGCGGAAAAGGATCCGAGCAGCAGCTCTGTGCAGGTCTCCCGAGACCCTCCCAGCCCCAGAAGTCCCGACAGCTGTACCTCACTTCCACGCAAGCCATCAGCACCAACCAGAGAGGTAGCAGAGCGGAAGGGTCCCCCCATCCTTGCTTGGTCCCAGGTAGATTACGGGGGTGCCCCTGGTGTTTGAGGCAGGACAGTCCTTCCCTGAGCATGCAGCATCCCTGGCCCTGCCTGCTAATGGCTGGTCTCCCCAGAACCCAGCCCTCTACCCCCCTGGTCCGCTTGTAGAGGTCGCACTGCTTCCCTGTTGAAAACCACTGGGCTAGACCCTCCTCTGTTGGTCATTTGAGCTCCTGACTTAGTGTCTGTGTGGAATTAGCATTTCACAGTTGTACCTTAGGTTTCCGGGTTAGGATTGAGTGTTAGAAGTCTCATTCAGGCCCCCTGCAAACCCAGCCCCTGCCCATGGTCAGCCTACACTTTGCTCAAAATCCCCAATGTCTTCGGATATGGCTGCTCTTCCCTCCCCCCCATGCTCCCCCCAAATAAACCCTGTATTTCATTCTCAAAAAAAAAGAAGAGCTGTATCTGGATAAATTGTACACACGTGTTTTTATTCTATTCTTATTCTCCAAGAATTTCTTGTTTTAATTATTTCCAAGTAAAAGTTTAAAATTTAAATGCAGGCACTTATGTTAATGTTAATATGTAATGGTTTCATTGTTGCTTTAAGTGAATTAAATATTTCTTTCCAGTTTCCTCGGTCGCATTGTGATAGAGTGGATATTAACAGACTAGGCCACATAAACCAGCTCCGTGGGTTCTCGGTGCTTCTAGGAGCCTGAGGCCTGAGAGCACGGGGCTGAGGCCGTGCGGCTCTCCGGGGCCCGGGGGTCCCACGCTCTCTGGCCGGTCCTGCCTTCAGCCAGAGCTGGCTGGGGGGCGCCCCTCGTTGACTCTGTGCCGGGGGCACATCAGTAAGGAGGGGCAGGCACATTCCGCCCAGGCCCTGAGGGGTCGGGAAAGCCCTCGTGCTGCCTCCACAGCGCTGTGGCGTGAGTGGCCGCTGTGCTGGTGCTCTGTCTGCGTTGGCTGTGTTGTGGGGTGATTTTGTATAATCATAGCACCTGACAGAGACACCAGAGAAGGGCAGCAGGGGGTTTGTAAAGTGCAGGTTTGAGTCTCCTGCCCCTTCAGGGAAGTGTGAAGAGCGAGCAGCGGAGGGGGTGGGGGGCGTCCGTGCTGCAGGGAGAGCCCGGCCAGCGGAGGGCAGGCGGAGGACGGCTGTGCGGAGAGGCAGCGCTGTGCTGGGACAGGCCGCAGGAGCCCCGGGCTTCGGGTCCCAGTGCCCCTCCCTTCCGTGGGCGCCTCTGCTATTTCAGCTGCTGCAGCAGCACACACTTAGAGAGGAGGCCACTGCTGCCTGCCATGTCCCTGCTTTCCAGCATGCAGCCCGCGGAAAGGGAAGGCAGATAGGCTGCTAACACGGTTGTGTCACGGAGCTCCAAATTCAAGTGATCAGTTTAAAAAAAAATAGATCTTTTAATTGATTTTAGAAAGAGAGAGGAAGGGAGAGGGGTAGAGATTGAATCATCAGTGATCCCCTGCTGGGGATCAAGCCCACAACCTGGGCATGTGCCCTGACCGGGAATTGAACCAGGGTCTCCTGGTTCTTAGGCTGATGCTCAACCACTGAGCCACACTGGCCAGGCCAAATGATCTGTGTTTTAAAAAACATCAAAGGTTAAGTAAATGTACACGCTTTCTGTTGTTTGGGTACACTGTTTGTCTTTTAATCTTTTTTGCTAAAGTTGTGATTTATTTTGTGGGCTTTTGTGTGTTTTTTTACAGATCATCAGAAACTGGAAAGGGAAGCCAGAATCTGCCGTCTTCTCAAGCACCCCAACATCGGTGAGGAGTGTGCCCAGTGCACTGTGGTTTTTAATCTAGTCTTTAAACTATTAACAAATAGGCTCCTAACTTTTAGTCTTGGTTACATTTGATTCTTTAAAGTTTTTAAATTTTTTCCAGAAATAGCAATTCCATATATACTAACATTTAAAAACCAATGTAAGGTATTATTAGCTGGAGAGGCCTTTGTGTTCTCCGAGGGTTATGCAGCGGCTGCTGACGAAGGCCGAGGCGGTTTGCGCCGTGAGCTCAGCTCCTCATTGCTTTCCCAGCCCTGTAGAAAGTCGTCCTCACCATCCCTGATCCTGTTCCAGAAACGAGCGAAACTAGTGTAGAATAGCGTCTCGTGAATTTTACAACAGCACAGTAACCTTCAAAAAGGAAGAACAATCTGCTGCTGGATTCTGCGACGGGTTGGTCGGTCTTTGGGGAACGTTGGGCCCCGCTCTGCAGTGTCACTGTCCGCAGAGCCTTTTCGCGGGAGCCAGAGGCTGGGCACAGGACTGGCAGGCACTCTCGGGGGAGCCTGCACTTCTCTTGTGACGCAGAGGCCCTTGCAGTGTCTGTTCCTTTCCTGCCTGGGAGTGCCATGATCCCCACCTCGTGGGTGTTCTTTAGTCCTGGCGTGAATGAGCAGGCTCTACACAGGAACCCTGAGCATCGCCCAGCGAGCGGTCCTGAGAGTCACACAGAACAGCCTGGCTCTTCTCCCTGGAACAGACCGTGCGATGGCTGAGAGGCCGGGGACTCGGTCCTCTGCTCCCCCTCCTCGCCTTCCTCCACTTGATTACGTGCTCAGTTTCCTGTCTGCCAGGCTTTGGAGCTTCCAGGCAGGTTCTGCTGCCCGGGTCCCCCGGAAATGTGTGCGTTTTATTTCTGCGAGCCTTCTCTCGGCACAGGATCCATCGTCTGAGAACTTGCGGCCAGCAGACAGTTTCTCCCAGAGAAACACATTGGAAAGTGGGGCTCGCTGAGCGGGGTGCTCACTGGAGCTCTGTTTCACCAGGGCTGTTTGACGTTTGTCTGATTCTCACAGTAATGCACACATCAGTGGGAAGTGCAGGAAACAATCATGCATGCAGAAACCAGAGGGAACCACATTTAATACTCGTTTTTATTTCTGCCTTTTTATAACACTCCTGTGTATGTTAACTTCCAGAATTTCTTGTGGGCATTTTCATAGCCCTTTAGATAAAACCATGGAATTGTCTCAAAATCAACAAAATGAACGTGTCGCTGTGATGATGAAGGTCAAGGGAGACAGCGTCCCTGCTCCCCCTCTCGCCCTGCCCCCACGGCATTGTAGGGGTCGCTTCCATGAGAGGACTGGACAGGCCGTTGGTGCTGTAGACTGTGTGGCTGCTGCCAAAGAAGCAGTCGTGCCTGCGCTAAAGCCAGAGGCGTCATTCAGTGTCCTGGGCGCAGAGGAGCTAGCCCAGGCTCAATGCACAGAGCCCCCGGGACTGGGACGTGGCCCCCTAGAACGAGGAGCCTCAGGAACTGGGAGCCCTGAGAGGGGGCCCTGGGGAGCAAGATGTGCGTGGTGGAAGTGACCGTGAGGAGATACGGGGGTGGAGGTGGGTCTTACGAAGCTGACTGGGAACGATTCTGTTAGAGGCAGGCCAAGGACTGAGACCCCACCGGTGGGCGAGGTCACATGTCAGAGAGGGGACGAGCCAGCAGGCTTCTCTGCTCAGACGCCTAGCAGGGCGGGGCCAGGTCCGCCGGACAGGCCTGGGAAGGGCTCGGGGAGCCTGCATGCAGTGTGGTGCGGAGGGTCTGTCACACGCACAGCGGTGTGTCTGAGGGGCCATGTCTCCGTAACCGCCAGGTGGCAGGACGGTCAGCCCGGAGAGCTTACAGCCCGCGGGCTGGGCTTCCCTCCTCAGGGGAGAGGCGCCCACGGACCTTCCCTGTGGAAGGGGGGCGGGGGGGCTGGGATGGCTGGGGAAGGGGGCACTGTGGAACCAGCTTGTGCTCAGCTGGGGGGAAGCCGGGGCAGGCCTTAGCACACCGAGAGGGTGCCCCCCCGGCTGCCCGCTGCGCATGCCAGTGCTGTGTCCTCAGGACCCAGTGTGCGCACCAGGCCTCCCTCTGCGGGAGACATTGCTGCTGCAGCCGCTCCCTGCATCCTCCCACTCCCTGCATCCTCCCGCTCCCTGAGTCCTCCAGCTCCTTGCGTCCTCCCTCCCGCTCCGTGTCCTCCCTCCTGCTCCCTGCGTCCTCCCTCCTGCTTCCTGCGGCTCCTCCCGCTCCCTGTGTCCTCCCGCTCCCTGTGTCCTCCCTCCCGCTCCCTGTGTCCTCCCTCCCGCTTCCTGCATCCTCCCGCTCCCTGAGTCCTCCCGCTCCCTGTGTCCTCCCTCCCGCTCCCTGCGTCCTCCCTCCTGCTCCCTGCGGCTCCTCCTGCTCCCTGCGTCCTCCCGCTCCCTGCGGCTCCTCCCACTCCCTGTGTCCTCCCTCCCGCTCCCTGTGTCCTCCCTCCCGCTCCCTGTGTCCTCCCTCCAGCTCCCTGTGTCCTCCCTCCGGCTCCCTGTGTCCTCCTTCCGGCTCCCTGTGTCCTCCCTCCGGCTCCCTGTGTCCTCCTTCCTGCTCCCTGAGTCCTCCCGCTCCCTGTGTCCTCCCTCCCGCTCCCTGTGTCCTCCCTCCTGCTCCCTGTGTCCGCCCGCTCCCTGCGTCCTCCCGCTCCCTGTGGCTCCTCCCGTTCTGTGTCCTCCCTCCTGCTCCCTGAGTCCTCCCTCCTGCTCCCTGAGTCCTCCCGCTCCCTGCGGCTCCTCCCGCTCCCTGCGGCTCCTCCCGCTCCCTGAGTCCTCCTGCTCCCTGTGTCCTCCCTCCCGCTCCCTGTGTCCTCCCTCCTGCTCCCTGTGTCCGCCCGCTCCCTGCGTCCTCCCGCTCCCTGTGGCTCCTCCCGCTCTGTGTCCTCCCTCCTGCTCCCTGAGTCCTCCCTCCTGCTCCCTGAGTCCTCCCGCTCCCTGCGGCTCCTCCCGCTCCCTGCGGCTCCTCCCGCTCCCTGAGTCCTCCCGCTCCCTGAGTCCTCCTGCTCCCTGTGTCCTCCCTCCCGCTCCCTGTGTCCTCCCGCTCCCTGCGGCTCCTCCCGCTCCGTGTCCTCCCTTCTGCTCCCTGTGTCCTCCCTCCCGCTCCCTGTGTCCTCTCGCTCCCTGCGTCCTCCCGCTCCCTGTGTCCTCCCTCCCGCTCCCTGTGTCCTCCCGCTCCCTGCGTCCTCCCGCTCCCTGCGGTCCTCCCGCTCCCTGCGGTCCTCCCGCTCCCTGCGGCTCCTCCCGCTCCGTGTCCTCCCTTCTGCTCCCTGTGTCCTCCCTCCCGCTCCCTGCGTCCTCCCTCCTGCTCCCTGCGTCCTCCCGCTCCCTGTGTCCTCCCTCCCGCTCCCTGTGTCCTCCCTCCCGCTCCCTGTGTCCTCCCGCTCCCTGCGTCCTCCCGCTCCCTGCGGCTCCTCCCGCTCCGTGTCCTCCCTTCTGCTCCCTGTGTCCTCCCTCCCGCTCCCTGCGTCCTCCCTCCTGCTCCCTGTGTCCTCCAGCTCCCTGCGTCCTCCCGCTCCCTGTGTCCTCCCTCCCGCTCCCTGTGTCCTCCCTCCCGCTCCCTGCGTCCTCCCTCCTGCTCCCTGAGTCCTCCCGCTCCCTGTGTCCTCCCTCCCGCTTCCTGCATCCTCCCACTCCCTGCGTCCTCCCGCTCCCTGCGTCCTCCCTCCTGCTCCCTGTGGCTCCTCCCGCTCCCTGTGTCCTCCCGCTCCCTGTGTCCTCCCTCCTGCTCCGAGTCCTCCACTCCCTGTGTCCTCCCGCTCCCTGCATCCTCCCGCTCCCTGCGTCCTCCCTCCTGCTCCGAGTCCTCCCGCTCCCTGCGTCCTCCCTCCTGCTCCGAGTCCTCCCGCTCCCTGTGTCCTCCCTCCTGCTCCGAGTCCTCCCGCTCCCTGTGTCCTCCCTCCCGCTCCCTGCGTCCTCCCTCCCGCTCCCTGCGTCCTCCCGCTCCCTGCGGCCCTGCAGATGGGACCGGGTGGGCAGCCCCTTGCAGTCAGGCTGCGAGGCCAGCAGGCCTGCGTTCCGCCGGGGAGGTGACAGTGACTCAGCCCAGCACAAAGGGGGCAAACACTTGGAGGGAACTCATACCTCTGGTTCGCTCCCTCTTTATCATTATGTATCTTTTATTTTCACAAAATAACTTGTTTCCCTTGATGTTTGTTAAGCCAAATTGAGATACATCCTATTTGAAGAAACATTTACATCTCAGCATGCACCCAGCCCGGAGGGTAGCTCTCTGATGGCCTCCAGGCCCTTTCACCCCGCCTGTCAGTGCTGCGGCCTGCGGCCGTGCAGGGTGGTGGCCTGAGGGCCACATCGTCACATCTCAGACAGCCTCCTTCATTGCAGCTCCTCCCTCCCTCCCCACTACCCCAGACAGGCAGTGCCCGGGCACCTGGCGGGGTGAGGAAATGAAGGGAAAGGAGTGCCCGCCTCAGCGGCCATGCCCCCCGCTGACCCTGAGCTCGAGGCCTCCCGCCTGCCCAGGCGCCCTTCTCCGCAGACACAGGTCACCGCCTCCTCCCGGAGGGTCCCCCGGGACTGGCTCACCTGCAGAGACGTCTGATGGAGACAGGCAGCGGGGTGCCTCAGTGGTCCACGCATGCTGTCTGTGATGTGATGTGTGCTATATAACATATAACATACAACTAATAGTACCATAACAGGGTCTATAGGACAGCTATACAAACTAATTTTTCTTTTCCTTTTTTTAAAAAAAATATATTTTATTGATTTTGTACAGAGAGGAAGGGGGAGAGAGAGAGAGTTAGAAACATCGATGAGAGAGAGTCATCGATCAGCTGCCTCCTGCACACCCCCCACTGGGGATATACCCCCAACCAAGGTACATGCCCTCGACCGGAATCGAACCCGGGACCCTTCAGTCCCCAAGCCGATGCTCTATCCATTGAGCCAAACCGGTTTCGGCTAATTTTTCTTTTCTTTAATAATTGAAGAAACTACCATTGGTGG